GATTTACTGCCGTTCACACTCACTCTAATCCACAAACAGGAACAGAGAGAGGGGACCGGGCCAGATCTACAGGGACACCATCGGGCCAGCAGTATTTCATAGAAGAAGAAGCAATCCATAGTTTTAGAGTGATGGGAAATGTTGGAAATGTTGTCATAACAATTTAACGATTAAAAACAAAATGTAATGAGTGGGATAAAGTCCTTGAAACTTTGCACATAAACTCAATGAATACAACGTAATCAATTAATACACAAAGCTAAAGAAATTATTAATATAAATATTATTGACATTTGAGATCAGGACAGTCTGGTGATTTAAGTTTCTGTTGGTAAAATGTCTGCGTATTTGTGTAGCACTAAAAATATTTGGTAACTAAATTTCTTAAAGGGACAGTTCGGAATTTTGGACATAGGGCCTCATTTCCTAGTGAGCCAGAGTGTTGGAGACGTGTGGAGACACTTTTTAAAATATTCCATCCAGTCTTTGCATTTGCAGAGGTTGCTGGTGCTAGGCTAGTGCATGTCAATGGCCATAGTTAGCCACCACTTAAAAAACAGTCTTACCCACTCCACAAAACACCCAAAGCAAATCTATTATTACATCAGACTGTAAATGTCTGTGTTGATAGAATCATTTTAGAAGTAAAACTAAACTTGCATTTGAAGGATTTATATCTGAGCAGCAGCAGTGAGTTGTACTTCCTGATAGAAAGCTTGGCACCGGCGGACTGATATATGAGAAAATAGTCCCTCAACATGCGACGATTCATGCAATGCAAGGTTAGTTTTATTTCAAACATTATTCTATCAACACAGACATTTACATCGACACTCTAGTGTAATAATAGATTTGTTTTGGGTGTTTTGTGGAGTGGGTAAGACTGTTTTTAGTGGCAGGATAACTATGGCCATTGACATGCACTAGCCTAGTACCAGCGACCTTTTGCCTTTGCAAGACTCCTTATTTTTGACTCATGATACAAAGGCAGAGAATAGGAACTGACACATAAGGGTCAGAGATCAATTTTGAGCTCAATATTTTTCACATACAAATATTTTTTTCATTATAGTAACTAGTTGTCAAATTTTGGGAGCCCTACCTATTGTACTTATGTCTGGACAAAACAGAAAGTTTGAAGTCATTACTCAGTTTCACACTCTGGCGAGTTAAGGTCTTTTGCCTTTGTAGGGCAGAGTAGTGAACATAAAAACAGAGACAAACCTGCACACTTACCCCTAAACTGCCTTTAATAAATGACAACGTTTTGATGAGTGGATCTTCGTCAGGTCATAATGTTGTTTCCTCATCAAAAACATACCTAGAGTTGTGTTTTGTTTCATTGACACATAACTTTAACTCACAAATCCTGCATAGAGTTTTGCTCTCTAACAAAAACACTCTGTTCCACCTTGTGATGTCATGTGGTCATACAGGAAGTGTTTTAAACTCTTTACACCACACTACAGTCATTTAGATAATTTCAGCCCTGGAACTGCTAATCTCTACTGAACAGAATGTAAAAGGCAGCTGTTCTCTTGAAAACTGCCACTACATTATTATTATTATTTGTTTGTTTATTTCATTCATAAAGTGTAAAAAGACATCAACAGTGTCACAACATCAAACATACAAGAAATTAACGAAAAGGAGCAGAAAGAAGGAAGAGTCATCTTATATTAACCGCCTCCTTTTCCCTTTTTCAGACAAAACATCAACACTGATAGTTACTTAAAAACATGTCAAATCAGTATATTTCACTTCAGTCACAATTATTAATCAATTGCAAACAGAAATTTTTACTATTATGCAAGAATCTGTTATCTTCAATATTATGCAAGACAACTTAACTTCCTTTTTTTTTACATACACATTTCACTGGCTTCTATGTGTTTTTTAAATGACAGGATATGGTAATCTTTTGGAAACACTAATAATAAAGTGTGACTCAAACGTGTGAATAAAACAAAACACAACTCTCTGTAAGGCTGTGCAAATAACTGAATTTTTATCACGTTTTTGATTTGTGTGTCAAACATTCTCCAAACTCAAATAATCGAGCTGAAAGGAGTAAAGCTTAACAAAGTTTATTTTACTGTTTAAATATAAAGATTGTAGAACAGCTGGATATATAGTTTATTTTGGATGTTTTTCTATGCCTTGTTTCACATTCAAAGTGTATTTTATTTACTCATTTTATGTTTTATACATCACAAAACTGCTCTAAGGTTGATATTTGCAGTCTATATTTATTTTCAGTTTGAATGTTTGGTGTAAATTATCAATAACAACGTGTTTTGTTTTGGGTTTACTTGAGAGAGAAATGCTAAATAATTGCATTGTGTAACTAAAAAATAATCGTTTGAATAATCATGATTTCAATATTGACCAAAATAATCGTGATAATGATTTTTTACATAATCGAGCAGCTCTAACTCCCTGTATGTTTTTGATATAACATGACTTAAAGCTCAATTTTGCGTAACACCTCATCTGGCATAAAGTTCTTTCAGAGTTAAATGTTTGGGCTTATAGCTGTTCATTATGTGAGATACTTTAAACTCTAAATAGGAACAAGTAACATCTTAATTGTAGAGCCACTAATGCCTAAATCTTACCCATAATTCCTGCCATCTGTCATCAAATTCAGGCGTACGCTTCTGCTTCCTCAGTCGATACAGTTGTTCCTATTACGCAGTGAGTACCCCATCTCGAGGACCTCTTATTCCTAATGCACGGCTCTCCTCTCCGCCGTGGGCCAATCTGGAAAGGATCATGGCCAAGTAGCGAGTTTGCTAGTTTGATTTGGTGCGTTGCTGCTGGTTACAAAGAATCAATAGTGAATCACGGAGGGGTGAGTCCTTAGATAAGCGTCGGGGGCCACTGGCTATTCATCATAAAGTGCGCGTTAGCCGGATAGGTCAGGGGACATGATATAGAGACCTGCTTATCTGGGCGCAGCAGGGGAGGTGGTAGACATGAAGATCAATACGAGCTGTTCTGGTAAAGCACGCAATTATCAACAGCTGATTCTGTCCTCCCCCCTCCATGACTGTTAATAACACATAATTACAAGTTTGGGGACAAAGCCGGAGTGCAGGATTACAGCTCTGCCAAAGTATGTTCGTGTCTTCGCTTGTGTCTTTAAAATCGCTACAGTGTAAAGAACCGGAAGGTCAGATGGTGGTGTAAACAAAAATTCGCTTTTGGTGTTTGGGCGAGCTTTAGAGCTGTTTGCGAGGTTTATTTATTAACAAATGCATGACTGTTCAATCACTGACTATATTCAAAGACTTAAAGGCGCATTGTGTGACTTTTCTGGTGCTTTTCTTCACGGAGATGTCATTGCTTTGTCTGGAATGTTCCACAGTATGGCATTAAACCTTTCTATCTTCATTGAGACAAAACCAGGCCAAGTTACAGGACAGATCTGTGAAAAGGCGACCCCCGTAGACTGTTTTTCTACATATTTTTGAGCTATAAAACCACCTGTAATTTAACCATTGTAAAGTAGAGCTGTTTAAAGTCACACTGTGGAATATTCCAGACAGAACAATGACATATCTGTAGAAACAAACAGCCGCCAAACCCCCCTAAACTAAAAAGTTACGCAGTGCACCTTTAACTAACTAATTACAGCCTTAATAAAACATGAAGAAAGAAAGTTCATAGCTTGTTTAAATTGTTTAGGTTGTTCAGGAAGGGCATCTGACTTAAATGTTGTGGGGTGAGAAGTTGCTGTTGATAGAAAATCTGATAAAACTTAACTCATATGAACAAATTAGGACAGTTAGGGTATTAATTACATATATTTATAAGCCTGAATCATTCTTAATCGGGATGTAATGATATCCAAATCTCTCTGTAAGATATTATCACGATATACATCTCAAGGTACGGTATTTATTGTGATATTTTGTAGAAGCTGATATAATTGTAGATAGGACGCTTTTTTGGTTTTAAAATACCCTGACCAGATTTTGGTGTGAATTATTTCTGTCATAATACCAAGAATTCAAGTCAAAAACATATTTCTTCACATTTTCTGCACTGAAATGAATCATGGGATATGTAGTTCTTTATGTTTATAAGCCGTTGCTACTATAAAACCATGCATTTAATATATTGTGACAGCCCATGATATTATTGTGAGACTTTTGACGATACAATATCACGATATTTTCAATACTGTTACATCCCTAATTCGTAATAAACTATGTGTTCATATGAATAAAGTCTCTCTTCTTGCTTCATTATGGTGTAGTTATAATGTGTTACCAAAAAGTCTTCTTCCTTGTCTCTTTCAGGTTCTTCATTGACAGCAACTTCCTTATCCACAACATTTATGTCAGATGCCCTTCCTGAACAAACTCTGCCTCGTTAATCCAGGCTTTGAACTCACTGCACTCTGTAATGTGATTCAGTTTTGAGTATCAAGTGAAGCTCTGGTTTGGTGAAGACAATTAAAAGCCCAACTGTCCCAGACTTTGGCAACAATTATGTGAAAAAGAAAAGAATATTGTGGTATTACTGGAGAGAGGCCTATCAAAACAAAAACAAAAACTTAATATTTTGACTAATTTTCATGTTTTCACCCAAAAGTAAATTGTTGGAAATAAAAAATGTAATATGTTGAACTAGCTCAACAAAAGAAGAAAGATTTTAAGATGTTTTACGCAGTGATTTTGAAGTGGTGCATGAGACGTTTTGGTGTTTTATCCAGACTCCGAAAATGTAAAAACGTCCCCACAAACATCACCATGAGCTCACGATTCTGCTACTTCATTTGCTTCAACAACAAAACTTTAAACACATTTAGACTCTTTTGTGGCGCCAAATTGTGGGAGGTCGTTGCGCGCGGAGCACTGGCCAAGCAGTAGCCTATCGTAGCCGGCTGAAGGGCAGCTAATGACGGAGCAGAGGCGGAGGGAGCAGCGAGGAGGAGCGCAGCGCCGGTGTGTGTGACCGAGGATCACCGCACATCACACGGGCACCAGCGCGGGACCAACCGGGACGGGTCCGCACAAAGGGACCCCAACCAGTGACCGCGTTAACTTCACCTTTTGCTGGACATAACTTATCTTTTGCTCTCTTTTGGATTTTTGTTATCAAACGTAGGAATTGACTGTCTTTGATTGGGTTAGACTGTGTGAGATAACGGGACGTCCTTTAAAAGTCGCGTAACTGGGCTATTTTTACGCAAAACCTTCAAACTACTCAGGTGTAAACAAGACAAAACGTTTCCGAAAAGCTGAATTCTGATTGATTGAGTGTTTGTCGTGCGTAAAGTTTTCGTACAACTGACGGGACTGGCGTTAAAGTTGGACTGAAACATGTTGGAGTTGTGCGTGACAGTGCGTCAAACCAACACGGGACAGGAGGCGCACCAATAATTATTAGCTCTCATCCCTCATTTCCATAGCTCTCCTGAGTTTGGCTGGACACAGGCCAATATCCCGCAGAAGGGCAGCTCGAGTCGTAAAAGCCGAAGCCGTCCTCAATCATAATTACTCTGACATGCGCAATCTGCACTTGGGTAGCTCCATCCACTCCATCAGCTACGGACGCGTATTTGAGAGCGATCCGCGCTACTGAAGGCTCCCCGCGAACCCCGCTCGTCCCACCGATGGTCCCGGGAAGGAACAGCGCCATGTCCCGTCGAAAACAAGCCAAACCTCAGCATCTCCGGTCCGAGGAGGAGGCGACAGCGCGCGGCGAGCTGCTCTTCGGGCACGGTATGGCTTAACTGTCCGGATTTAGACACTTAAACTTGTTTTTTTTTTTTGTGTGTAGTTGTTTTTTTCCATCGTGAGAGAGCGCTGGAAATAATTTAATGAACAGATGCACAAACACAATTTTATACACTCAGCTTTTCCTTTTTACGCACGGTATTTTTAGTGCGTAAAAGTGAAGTTTGGGTTTGACAGTTTTGCTTTTTGTTTACTTTTTTACTTTATTTAAACGTACGAAAAATAATTTATTAGCTGTGTTTAGTTTTTAAGTTTTGTAGTCTGTGCCCTAACTTCCTAGCAACGTTTACTGGACATTTACTGGAACAACATCGCTGACAAAGCAGTGGCACCAAACCAAATGTAACTCTATAATAACTTTATTCATTCTATTAAGTCACGTTGGACGTTTAAAGGGACTTGTTTAATCAAATATAAAATAAATCAAATCAACTGTATGATTAAATATGCGGAATATATTTCAGCCAGTCATATTTTGTGAGTAATGATCTGAGATTTAGAGGCCTGGCACAACATTTAACGTGTGAAACGAGCACATCTCACAGTCGTGCAGTTACGTTTTGTGATCAATATTACCAAAAGAAAACCTTATAATATATGAAGTTAATCAGATTATTTATTTTATCCATGTCTGAGATGGAAAAAATAAACACAATGGCAACATTTCCTTAATAATGCATGCGTAAAACTGTGATCAATAGTTGTTATAATTTCAGTGATAATAATGTAACTTCATCTCATTGCTTGAATCATATTCCCTGCTATAATTCCTCCATCTATTCAAATATTGAGTTAAACAATTTAATTTTCTCATGATTTGATCCGCACTGTATCGTAGAGTTATTAAATCAGCTGTTCTGGAGTATAAGATATCACTGTATTGTCTGCCCACTCTACCCAGATACACTATAATATATTTATATTTACGAATAAGATATTACACTGATGTAATATAGTTACATTTTTATTTCACGTCCAAACTAATTAACCATCTTTGCACGTTTGTAATATGAAAAGGGAAGTGTACAGTGGGATGACTTAGACTTACTTAGACAAACTTTATTGATCCACAAGGGAAATTATTTGGACACAGAAGCTCAAACATCACAAAATAATAAAATAACAAAAAGCTAAATATAAATAGCAATAATACATTCAAAATAAGCAGTAAAAGTAGCAAGAGACTGGTTTCAAATACGGAATAAGTGCATAAATGTGAATGTACAAGTAACAATAAAAAGAAGAAATACAGAAATACAAATATATCTCAGTTTTATACAAGAGATCTGTAAGAAGTAACAGTGTAAAGATTGATTAATTAATGATTGACAGGATGTAGGGTTATCTGGTACATAAAGGTGAGTTGTTGTACAGTTGTAGGGAGTATGTATGGTATGAATGTAGTCCTTGTCTGAATTAAGGCAAAAAGTAGAGTAGGTTCGACTTGTAAAGTGAGTAAAATCTCCAATGGGATAAGTTTGCTGTTCTAAATTTGAGCGATATTAGATTTTGTTTCTTGTTTTAAGTCCAAAAAGAGTGTATTTTCATATTTTAAGTACAAAAAGTCTTGCTCCATGGGTAGATCTTTTACTCACATGACAATTAAACTCATCTTAGTTCAAGTAGGCTGGATTTTAGCTCACACTTTAGAGTTTCGACTTGGACGTCGTTCGAGTCGGCTTCAAATATGTGCGTCTGTTAAACGGCGTTGAAGAGATCCACTCGTGTCCAGACCCCTCGCAGTCGGGGAAGGGAGGAGGAGAAGGAGGAGGAGGGGGGGTACATACAAGGGGGGGGGGGGGGGGTCTCAAATGATTGACTTAACCTTTGTCAGCTTCACCCGGGGAGGGGTCAGAGCGTCGTGTCCCCGATCATAATACAATTAGCACGTCAACAGCTGCTTTCTGATCTTCGGGGTCAGAGGTCAGGAGAGAGGAAAAAAATGTATTCATACTCAACAATTACGTTACTTAAGTACTGCTAGACTTGGACAAACTTTATTGATCCACAAGGGGAAAGTATTTGGACACAGTAGCTCACAAATCACAGTATAATATAACGACAAATCGCAAAAATATGAATGTTGACGATGAATTTGTTGCAAAATAATAAAAGACACATGTCAAATAAGGCATAATTATATAAATGTATAGAGTGGGGCTATAAAAATGCATGATTATTTGTGTAAAAAGATATATATTTGGTTGGTAATACAGAATTTTGCCTCAGTGTAATCAGATATTAAAAGAAGAGTCAAAATTGTAAGATATTTTTACTAAATGTTGTTTTTTACTGTAAAATAGGCAACAAATAAAGATGTTATCGCCACACAAAATTTCCAAAACAATAAAAGTAAAAGCAAAACGATGTTCCTGCGAAACTGTTTATTAAAAAAAAAAGTTAAACCCAAGTCACCATGTTCTCTGGAGTACAACTTTTCCTGACCTCTCTCCTTTAAACCACGGGTCTCGAAAAGCGTACATCTGTTTTCACGAGCGGTTACAAGGGTGACAATCTAAAATAAATTTCAATCGCAGTTATTATTATATTTGCTAACACTGACGCGCACGCTAAATCAAAGTCGATGGTTTCTTTGTTTTTGTTGGACGTAAGTCTCGTAAAGTTTTGACAAAGAGCTGAGTATTTTCCTGTGTGTTTTTTGGATTGGTGTTGGTGATTCACGAGACCACCCAGCATGAGAAAACGTGTATAATTTTACACTAAAACTTATTCTTACTCACTCTAACTACTACACTAACTTTGTAAATATAAATATAAGTTAGAAAACGTGTGACTTAACCATCTGCGGGGTTTATTTGTCTAAAGATTTAAGCGTATACAGGTCAGACCATGGTAACTGCGTGGTGTAATATATGTGGTAGTAAAGGAGCTCAAAAGTTGCCATGGTTAAGCCTCTTTTGTTTGGGAGGACTGAGAATACTGGGAGTTTTGGGGCGGATCTTTGCGATAATGAAAGTTTAATAACAAAGTAAAAAAAAAAAGGAAAAAACACAGACAGATGCTGAACAGAACAGAGGAAAGCAATGGTAGTGTTTTGTAAAAAGTTAAAGAGAGACACTGCAGGTGAGAAGGAAAAAAGTCTTTGAAACTTCTGCTTCGTTAAAAAAAAAAACATGCATTACAAGTTTTTCATCATGGTGTAACATTTTCATATTAAAATAATGTGTTTTGTGTGTAAAGCGTCTAAAACGTACCACATTTGGGACATTTAAAACAGAAACATGAACGGCAAGTTTGGATTTCTTACTTCTTTTTGTTGACATGTTAGGTACGATATGTTATTTAGTATCTGAGTAAACCAAATGTAATTGAAAATTTGCCTAAAAATTCTAATTTCGCTTCATTTTTTAGAGTTAAAACTTGAAGAAATCAGACTTGGAATTAGATATACAAAATAAATTTTCAGGAATCGGCCTTTCAAGTCACAATGTCCCATTTCCAGTACTTTACTCTATGGAAGGAACTTGATTAAATTAAATATTAAAACATGTTTTGGTGCAGTGTGGACAGTTTTGTTGTTTCCACTTGAAAGTTTGTTTGCTAAGAGACCAAAGTGACAAATAAATAAATAAAAAATCAAAAGTTTTGCTGGTAGTGTCTCGCTTTAACTAGAAAGTAGCAGAAACAGAGGTGAAACTTTCTGGCATTTGGAGGAATATTTGTACTATAATATATAAACTATTTACAATTACCTGGCTATAATTATACTTAAAGGTGCATTGTGCAACTTTTCTGGTGGAAGGTGCGCTACCTGCTTATGGCTTTAAACATTTCCATCTAGCGTTTATTCATTACGAGTGTTTCTATTGCTCAAAAATACAATCATTTCTTCTTGAATAGGGGCGACTCTCCACGGATCTGAACTGTAATAAGATCTCCTTTGTGATACATTTTAGGTTTAATCCATACTGTGGAACATTCTAGACAAAGCAATAGCATCTCCATGGAGACAAGCAGGTAGCGAACCCTCTACAAGAAATGTTACGCATTGCACGTTTAAGTATATGCTTTAAAATCTTCTCCAAAAAGTGCAATAAACCAAAAAAATCTACGAAATTACAGTAGTGTGAGTATTTCGTTCTAGTTTTTCTATTTGAAAAGGATGGAATTGAAATCAACTCACTGTACAAGCTTTATGTTTTATCTAAATTGTAAACAAGTTTGAAATCTATGAAGATAGAAATGCAGTGAAAAAAGAAAAAGTCATTTAGATTTGGTGTAGATACTTAATTCTGAAATATAAATGAGTAAAACTATATAATGTTAACGTAAAATCTCAAAACAGTATTAAGAAGAGGTTCAACAGTGACTCGAAGTAAGAGAACACTGCAAAAAGTGAAATCTAGCTAAGTTAAAATGACTTGAATTAACAAAGTTTCAACTTGAAATTCTTATGTAAAATTATCTACCATTGGAACAAGACTTTTTGTACTGGAAACAATAAAATACATCTTGTTACACACAAGAAAAACAACAACTCAGTGCTATTAAAATAAGAAGCAAAACCCAATCAAGAAAAACACTTATTCCATTGGTAGATAATTTAAGTTGGATCAACTCAAATCAAGTAAAATGTTTTTAATTTAAGTCATTTTAACATAACCTAGATGTTACTTTTTGCAGTGAACAACTCTAAAACCTGTACACTACAAAAAACTAAATCTAGCCAAGTTAAGATGACTTGAAATAAGAAAGTTTTATCAGGATTTGAATAAGACTTTTTGTACTTAAAATATGAAAATACATCTTACTACACTTAAAATAAAAAAATAAAAAAAACTTTTTGCGCTAAAATGATTTTTAAAAATCAAATATTGCTTGAATAAAAAAAAAAACGTACTCCATTGGTAGGTTATTTTACTTGTCAAGTTGAATCGACTCAAATAAAGTTAAAATTTTCTTAATTTAAGTCATTTCAAGTTAACGTAGATGTTACTTTTTTGCAGTGAACAACTCTAAAACCT